GGAAAAAATGAAAAAAATGTATTTAGGCCTATATATATATATATATATGAAATTACATTCTCCAACATTAGAAAGGCTGGAATCTACCAGACCAGGTAAGAGGCAAAAGCTTTCAGTTTGTAGCTGCTTAAGATCCTATCAACTTCAGGCAGTAGGGCAAGTTGGCTGGCTCCTACTAATGAACTAATTAAGGTCACATATCAGAGCTTGTTAACTTTCCTGAAGAAAACCTACTCAGACAGCTGGACAATATTTGATTTTAAGACTAAGCCTGTCAGACTCAGGACATGAGAATCAAAAGGAGGACATGTCCTCCTTTTACTAGAAGGCTGGTAATCCCCAGTCCCAAGTTTGGCCTTTGCAGCTTCCTGGAATAAAACAGAAAGCTGCAAAACAGACCAGCCCAAAGGCATTGAAACTGAATGCATGTAGTATGAGAATCGGATTATTTATAAATTTGGAATTTGAATTCAATGGGAGCCCTTGTTAGATAATGTGCTCCTTGGCATATTTACATATATTGCTTAATTAATTGGCAAGACAGCTGGACTCTCTTCAAAAACAGAAAAAAATATACTTAGGTGCAAAGTATTTTCTTATTAAAGAATACTGATACAGCATTCTTAATGTAACTAATTTAACTAGTTTAACAATAGATCAGACCTTTTTCCCTTTTCTATCTTTGCCATTTGCCCATGTGATCAAAAGAACTCACAAGGCAAGGAGATGATGCAACATATAAGCAATTCAGTTTTAAAAAGAGAAGCCACCTTGTTGGAATGGTAATTCAAAAATGTTGTTTCAGATATTAGGAGACATCAGTCCCAATAATGAAATTCTCTTGGAAGATATTACAAAAATTCTGTAAAATCTTGTTGTGGCTTGTCAATTATTATAGTATCACTTCTGCCTGAACATGAAACAGCTGGGTAAGTGGAGAAAGTAAACAAGAGTCTGAGTCATAGGATTAATAATGCTATGACATGTGCATTTTCTAATTTCTCTTCTGGCTGGCATAATTCACTGAGAATCAAAATCACCCAACTAAGAAGCAACCAGTTATTTAAAAAGCAGTATATAAACAATGTCATAGTTCTGTCAAATGCTCAAACACAAACATCTGGCAGGTCCTATCTCTTGACAACCTCTGAGAAATTATTTCCTATTCGGTACCAAATAGGCAATAAATTTAACCTGTGGGATGTAGATAAGGTGTTTGGGGAAATATAACCTATAACCTCTCAGCTTGAGCTTTATATTTCGTGAGTGAAGCAAGCTAAGTGGAGTGAATGATTGAATCTAAGAAATAAGTAATATTTTTTCTGAAATTGGAATTTGCTTCAGAGATGATGGACATGAAGAGCCTTTTGTAGAATCCTTGTAACTATGATCCAATCTAAATATCTTTTTTTTCTTGCAAGATAACATCCATTTGGTTTCAGATATACCTGAGTTATATTCTTGTTGTAGAACCATTTAAATTGTGACATGCTATAAGACAAACATGTATTTTCAATGTCTCTACAATATTCAACACAGCTGATGTTTTAGTCAAGTCTTATCATGTCAAACTTAACTCTTGATGATTTCATGAGCATGTCAACTTACAGGTAGTCCTCAACTTATGACCACAATTGGTACCAGAATTTTTGTTGCAAGCAAGGTAGTTGTTACATGCATTATGTCTGATTTTATGACCTTTTTTGCCACAGTTGTTAAGCAAATCACTGCAGTTGTTAAATGAATCAGGTGATCATTAAGTAAATCTGGCTTTGTCCATTAACTTTGCTTGTCAAAAACCAGCTGGAAGATGGCAAATGGTGGTCACATAACTGGAGGATGCTGCAACTAAGTATATGCCTGTTGCCAAACCCCACCCCCCTGAATTTTGATCATGTGACCATGGCGATGCTACAATAGTTATAAATGTGAGGATTGGTGGCAAGTCATTTTTTTCAGTGTCATTTTAATTTCAAATGGTCACTAAGTGAATGGTAAATCAAGAGAAGCCATCTTTAATGACCCCCGTATTCACTTAATGACCATTACTGGCTCCATTACTGTTGTAAGTTGAGGACTACCTCTACTTCCAGATTACCTCCATTTGAAAAAGGAAATTATTTAATGTGCGATTATGAGGCATGGATCTAAACTGAAATAAACAAACTTCTTGATGAAGAAAGAAGATAGCATGGAAACCATAGAAATTAAAGCCTTAAACTAATAATAATCAAATCTCACAAGATTTCAGCATGCTCATTCCAAGATCCCATGGCATGTTGGCATTCTCAGTGTATATCACATTAGATTTCAGGCAAGTATACTAAGATCATGTGAGATTTGGGCCTTTTAAAATTTTTAATGTCTCTCTCTGTCTCTGTCTCTGTCTGTCTGTCTGTCTGTCTGTCTGTCTGTCTCTCTCTCTCTCTCTCTCTCTCTCTCTCTCTCTCTCTCTCTCTCTCTCTCTCTCTGTGTGTGTGTGTGTGTGTGAGAGAGAGAGAGAGAGAGAGAGAGAGAGAGAGAGAGAGAGAGAGAGAGAGAGAGAGAGAATTAGAGATTGTCATCAGTCAGTAATTTCCCTTCTCATTTAAAAGCAAAAAAGTCAGAAGGAATCTGGTAGCACCTTTTTCAATTAATGCATTTTATTAAAATTAGTTAATGGGAAAAAGTAGTGTACTTGACTGGTCTCGATGTTTTACCACAATGTTTCCTCACCAGCACCACATAGCTGTCCTCTTAAAGTACAATGTCTACGAAGCACCAAGAGTTAATAGCGAATAATTTCTGATCTCCCCTTAATAAGGGAGTCATGTTATTTCTGAAAAAAGAAAAAGAAAAGTCTACCTGAAAACATGCCTTCTGAAGGCCATCCTTTTAATGGAGTAATGTAGTAATGATTTAGAATCCAGAAAAGGCCCTGCTAGAATTTATTATACCCAAACACCACAACCATACAGAAGGGATTGTGGGAATTATCTCAAAATGTCTAGAGGGAACCTGTTGCCAGTTTCTCTATAGTAACTGGATGGCATTCTGTACCTACTCAGCGACATTGCCATGTGTGGAAATTAATTCACCAACCCACATACATTGATGTTTCTGAAAGAATTACACTGAGAAGTGCACATCTTCTTTCCAGAGACCTTTCCTATTGAAACGTGGATGGAATTCCTTTCCATCTCCAAAGTGGAAAGCAAATGAGAGAAAAACTTGTCTTGGTGGCAAGTTTAAAGGATTTCACTCGCACTAAGTTTGTATCTTTGTCTCCCTAATTTCCTTTTGCTGTACTGATGTGATAAGACATAGAAAGTTGGTATTGTTCCCAGAGAATGATTAGCTAAGGCAATTTTTATAGGCATGATGTTTAGTGCTGTTATTTCTCCCACCCATTTTCAGTCCTGGCTTTTAAAACAGATGACAGGATAGAGCCAGGGTAATTCCCAGCATAAAGGATACCCAGTTTCAACTCAACCATGTGATTTCTATAAAACTGCTGAAGGAGTTCTAAAGCAGTTTCACAGAAGGCAGATAAACTCTCTATTTTTATGATCCTGTAATCCCTTAATTTGGGAGCTAGATGATTTTGTTAATGTTAAAAAACCCAGAAGCAGGAGTGATTGTGGCCCTTTCTTGCATAACACATTCATGTGTAATGAAAAATACTTTGCCTGAAGTCAAGGTATATATAAAATTATTTTCTTCCAAAATAAAGCAAATGAAAACTAAATTCTCTACATTTTAGAACACATTTATACACCTCAGAACGAAATTCTGTTGACAGCGTAGACACTTTTTCTCAAATTGCAGAATGGGACGAGGAAGATTTATTATTTATTTGTCAAATATATATATATAGCTGCCCATTTCACAATTTGTGATTCTAGGCAGCACACAATTCAAACAAAACAATTAAAAACAAAGCCTTAAAACAAATAAAAACAAAAATAAACAAAACCATGGGCGAGCGCATTTAAAGTCTTATATGCATTATAGGCTTTCCTGCCTAAGCGGGGGGTTGGACTAGATGACCTCTAAGGTCCCTTCCAACTTTACTATTATTATTATTATTATTATTATTATTATTATTATTATTATTATTATTATTATTATTATTATTATTAAGCCTTACAGTCATTTCACAGGCTCCCCATTTCCATGAGATCGCCAAGCCTCCTGACAGAATCAAGTTTTAAAAAATCACTTGGGGCCAATCAGATTCCAGCTGGTACACAGCCTAGTAGTCCATCTCTCCCTAGCCTAAGGCTGTGAATTTATTATGGTCCAGCCGTGTTTCTCCTTCCTAGAATGCCATACTGTCACCCGTCCACTTGTTTGTCTCTTCCAGTAAATTGGTGAGACGTCTTCCCAATTCTGCTGTCTCCCATCGCTTTTTTTTCTTTCTTTCCACCGCACTGCCCAGTGGCATCTGTGCTAGGGAAAACAAGCAGCCTCTTGCCAAAGCAGGCCCACCCTCACGCATTCAACCCTTCCCAATCAAAAAGCCGGAAACTCGCCCTCGCTGTCTAGATCAGGGGGTAGTCAACCTTGGCTCTTTTATGACTCGTGGACTTCAACTCCCAGAATTCCTGAGCCAGCTTAGCTGGCTCAGGAATTCTGGGAGTTGAAGTCCACGAGTCATAAAAGAGCCAAGGTTGACTACCCCTGGTCTAGATTGAAGATCCAACTTCGCCTTTGGAGAAATTCCAAAGCGAGACGCGATTTACGGGAAATCTCCGCGCCGAGAAGAAGCGGGGGAAAACGGCCCCTCATCCCTTCGGAGGTGCCCCCGCCAAGAGGAGATCTCTGCCCGAGATTGTCTCTGCCAGGGAAAACCAGGCCCTTGGGATGCACAGGCCTCCGCGGCGCCGGCTGGCTGACGAATCCCATGCCCCCGGGGCACCTTCGCCCAGCTCCCAGCCCAGAAGCAGCGCCCGGTCGCCGCAGTTTTTGTCCTCTTGGCCTGCCCGCCGAGAGAGAGAGAGAAAGAGAGAGCCTCTTACCTCCTCTGGAGGCGTCGCGTCGCCGTTGCCGTTGCCGTTCCCTATTGCCGTGGTCAGCCCGTTCATCTCGTGGCTATCGGGGGTCGAGCCCATGGCTGCTGCGGCAGCTGCTGCGGCGCGGTGCAAAATGAGACAGGAGGAGGCGCGCAGGGGAGCGGAGACACGTGTTAGGAAGTCTTGTGCTTTAGCCGTTACGCAGCTCTCAGGGCCGTCCTCGACCCTGCTTGGGAAAGAAAGAGAGGAAGAAGGAAAGGGAGCGGGGCGGGCGCTGGGTTTCCCCTCCTGATTTCGCGGCACCAAGAGGCCGAAGGGGAACCGCTTGGCGCGGCTGCGGATACTGAAGCGTTGCTGTGGCGACGTTTTCTGTCCAGCTGTTTGATGAATTTGTCCGGACGAGTGACCTCTGCCGGGGAGAGATTGTGGTGGGCGCACTCCCCCCCCTTTTCCTCGCAAGGAAAGTGGGAATTGGGCCACGTCAAGAGTTAACACTCCTTGCCAGCCAGCGATGCCTTGAGCCCTATGGAAAATAGGGCAGACGGAGACTGCCTTCCTTTGCTGCTCTCCCAATCTGTATCTTTACAGCTTTCGTTAAGCTCTGGGGTTTTCCTCTTCCTACTGTGTTCAAGGGACCAGAGTAAACAATGTACATCACTAGGGGTTTTTTTTCTTTCTTTCCCTGGGGCTGTGGGACACTAAATGCACTACAACAGGGGAATTTATGAATTAACCTGTAGCCTTCTGGATGGCGATTCAAGAAGAAATTGGGTATGTCGACCCAGCTATTGCATTCTGCTTCTTCTCATCTATTGGTATCTTTTTGGGTGCCAAGGTATAATTTTTACACATAACTTTTTATTACAGAATTACTGTAGAAGGTGATGGGGAATCAGAAGCATTTGCCAAATTCCTACACAGTCCATCTCACTTAAGTGACTCTGGGTATCGATTCATACTTTTTTCTGCCTTTGGGTCACTCAAAATTGCACTCACTCTCATTTTTTTTAACTAGGGGTCTTCAGTCATGTATGATAGGAAAGAAAATATCTAGAGATGATGGCATAGAAAAGCATCTTGTTTTGCTCCTTTCTTTCTGCTGTTTGTGAAACAAATTAGTCAAGAACAGGGGTGTCAAACTTTCATTGAGGGCCGCATCAGCATTGCAGTTGCCCTTGGGGAGCCGGGTGGGTGCGGCCAGGGTGGGTGCAGCCTACTGGGTGGACGTGGATGGAGTGGGTGTGGCCTACTGGGTGGGGATGGTCAGATCTACATCGCTCGTGTCAAGGGTGCCTGTGGGGGCCTGGGCAGGAGTGGGACAGATCTGAGGGTCTCTGGCAGAAGGGGGGTGGGACCGGAGCAAGCGCCAAGGCATGGTCCATTTCTTCATTCCTCACAAAGGGTGACACCTCCCCAGCATGCACCCAGGGGGTGGGGGCGATGCGGCAGTAGCTGGTTCCTCGTTGTTTCTAGATGGCCTTGTAGAGCTAAGACTCTACATAGATGGCCACCACAAAATTGTACATTGGCTCCCGGCTGGCCTGGGCCAGGGCCAAAGCAGCAGGGGCCGTTCCCTCACTGTTTCCAGGATGGCTTCACGGGCCACATGGAACCACTTCGTGGGTCGCATCTGGCCCCCAGGCCTTGTGTTTGACATGTCTGGTCAAGAAAAATGAGAGTAACAATGTCTGAGAACTGGCTTCTCTTGGATCTTCCACAATGCTCCTGATCATGTTTGTAGTGTGGCCAACCCTTGTAATGCACCCCCCCACCTGCCTCTTTCACTCCTATGAAGATGTGATTTATTCTCGCATAATAAAATAATAGTATACGCTCCATATTGCAATGTTAAATGTTATCAAACATTTTTTCACGAGAGATTCTGATAACCCTCAGAGTTAACAAGAGCTTCCTTTGAACTTTTACCTGCACATTTCAAGTCTACTTACTTGAATTTCAGAAAAAGTTATGTTAGTCACTGGGATCCAATTTCTCCACGCAGTGAAGAAAAACGCTTTCTTCCACTATTGCTTCAAATTTTAGGCTTTATTATTGGCACTTTTAACATGGCAGTCTTAGCCTCTTGTTTAAATTTAAGAATGCATGTTTTTCTCTTCTTAGTGAAGGCTACTTCTTTGGTATGTGAGACCTTGCTTTCTCGGCAACTACTGTACACAATAGAGAGTGTATTCTGAAAGTCCTTCAATATACTTGCAAATTTTAAGAAAGATACAAACCCAGCTGGGAAACTAATGTAACCCATAAATTTGCCACTTGTGGAATGTTATCTAGAATCAACAATGTTTTCTGTAATTCAAGTCTCAGGTGTAATCAGTGTCCAGTGTCTTTTATTGTTTGATCACTTGCTTTCTGACGTATCATATATACCAAATGTGTGCATCATTTGAGGGGTCCTTGGTATGTATCGTTTGTTTTTGTTCTCTATAAAATAAAGACTTGATCATCCTTAATAAATGCTTTTTGATTTGGCTGAAGTACTTGATGGTTCATATTTTCAGGTATGCAAAGAAGCCTCTTTGCAAGGGTAAAAGTCTCTCACAAATTCAGGAATCAAGTTCTTACTAGCTCCACACCAAACTTGGGTGCCTGAGTTTGAAGGGAACACTGCCAGATGAATTCAGAAAGGTTCATAACATAAAGAGAAAAGTTTAAAATGCAAAATGCCCACTTATTCTTTGTTACAAAGTTTTGCCCCTTTCCCCTTTTATCTAAATATTAATACTGCAAAGCATTCCAGAATACAAAGCAACTTCAGGCTAGTATAATATAACATTGCAATCCTTTGCTTGCTTGAGAAATAGAGGTTTCTGGGGGCAGGCCATGAAAGAATTACAATTTACCCCATCATCCTTGCCCTTCCTTTCTCCCCCCCCCCCATGCAGTAGCTGCTTTTTTTAAAAAAAATCAAACTATGACAAAGATATTCTTCTTATAAAGTTTTTTTTGAAATCACATGTACTATACAATCACAATATTCCATGTTCTGACCTTTTCAATAAGCTAAATGTCTAAACTGAGGTCTAAATATTTATAAACACTGTAAATCAGTTGGAGTATAAAGAAGGAAAACAGAAATTAAATATTTACTTACTTTTTCCAAACAGTATCTTTTTCATTTTTCTTTTTTCCTTTTTCCTTTTTCCTTTTTTGTTTTTTTTTCTCTTTTAACATTTATAAATAACAAATAATACAGAAGAGAGTTTAGTATTAAGTATTAAGCTCAAAGTTAGAAACCTTTCTCATATTATAAAATAATTCAATGCATTTTGTAACAGTTTATCAATAGCATACTTAGTATTAATTGTACAATTTAAGCATCCTTATGTTCATTACATTTTAGAAATCATATTTAACATTGAAATACATGTCTTTCTTATTTTTAAAGATTTAATCAACTTGTATCATTGCAGTGCTCACAATTTCTAGCTCAACCATCATTTACTGGGTCAGTATAACATTTGACCTCACCTTAAAAAATGTTCATGATTTAAGGTTAAAATTAAGAATATACAATTCTATCCAATAGAAAACATATTCACCTCTTTTCATTTTTAGTAAATATAATTCTTTGGTTTTTTATCTGTTTTCTTGTAATGGTATATAAGAGTAGTTGTATTTGTGTGATAATGTTTTTTTTTCAAACAGCTGGATCAATAAAATATAGTAAAAGTGCTATTAAGATAATTAGAACAATTGTAATGAGCTAGGAACTGAATATTTTTCAAGAACTATTGTTTGGTTTGTTCAAGATGAGAGCACAATTATTACAAAATAACATTTTCAGTCATGTGATAGAAACTCAGTTTTCAATAATAATAATAATAATAATAATAATAATAATAATAGTAGTAGTAGTAGTAGTAGTAAAGTTGGACAGGATCTTGCAGGTCATCTAGTCCAACCCCCTGCTCAGGCAGGAAACCCTATACCAGTGATGGCGAACCTTTGAGAGCCCGAGTGCCCAAACTGCAACCTAAAACCCACTTATGCATTGTCGGGTGCCGGGTAGGTGTGGCCATTGGGTGGGTGTGGCCCATTGAGTGGGCGTGGCTGCGGTGGTAACAGAAGACGGTGGGACTAAAAAGTTCAATCAATCAATTCCAACTTTGCGAGATCTTTTTTTTCCCTGCGAGAAGTTGAAATTGACTGATTGATTGAACCTTTTTTTTTTTTGTACACGGCAGCGGAGGCCTAAAGCAAAAAGGTTTTATAAAACCCAGCTGAATGCCTAGGACTGGGGCGGCGGCGCGCGTGCCCACAGAGAGGGCTCTGAGTGCCGCCTCTGGCACCCGTGCCATAGTTTCGCCACCACTGCCCTATACCAGGGGTAGGCAACCTTGGCTCTTTTATGACTCGTGGACTTCAACTCCCAGAATTCCTGAGCCAGCCATGCTGGCTCAGGAATTCTGGGAGTTGAAGTCCACGAGTCATAAAAGAGCCAAGGTTGCCTACCCCTGCCCTATACCATTTCGGACAAATGGCTGTCCAGTCTCTTCTTAAAAACTTCCAGTGTTGGAGTATTCACCGCTTCTGGAGGCAGGTTGTTCCACTGGTTAATTGTTGTTTTGTGATCCATCCAGGCTTATGGCATTAGTTGGTGACCATATTAGTCTTAAAATAAATGTGGTATAATTGTTCTTCATAAAACAGTTGGTAAACTGACCCTATGCTGAATAGGTTGAATCCAGCTTTGATTTTCTAAAAAAAGCCTCTTCCATGTAAACCTATTTGTACAAAGGCAGAATTAGTAAAGGAGGAGGAGGAGGGGGAGGGAAAAGGGGAGGAGGAAGAGGAGGAGGAGGAGGAGGAGGAGGAGGAGGAGAAGGAGACTCTTCAACTATCTTCTCTGTAAATAATCTTGAGCAAGTGCTGAAATTCAACAACTTTTTCAAAGAGGTAATAAATAACTAGCTTAGCTAGGCTGACTGTACTGATTTTGTTTAAAAGATCTCTGTGGATTGCTTGCTCTTTTTCCCCAGCCATTTCCTCTCTCCCAATAAACTCTTTTGTTATATAGAGAGATTTATTTCCACTGGTTTAAGAAGGGAATTTCTCACTAAGAGTGTTGCTATGTGCAACTCTCTTTCAGCACTGGCACAAGCTTTCTTGATCTCTATTTTGGGGCTTTGAATAGAAAAACCCAAAGCAACTTTGATATCTTTTTTTCCTTTGCTGAAAAGACAAGTCCTGGCTATATG